GTAAAATTACCATTTTTGATGTCGACGTCTGACCAGAACTTAGTCGAACTTCTTTTAGGATAAAGAAGTAACTGAAATAAAAATTTTAATTTAATATTAAACAATTAAAAATAAGGAGTCAAATTACGATAACTGAAAAGATTTATAACAAAAAGAAAAACGTTATCACTTCGTTGAATAATTTATGTTAAAATTTCTAACTTCTAACAAAAATTTATTAATAAAAATAGAAATAACACACGTTACGAAAATGCAATAGCAAACGCATTCTTAACTATATAAGCAACATAACATTAAACATATATTAAGGGGCAGTCTATTCATTATAATAATAATTTTTCCACATTTTTTTCTCTTCGATTGTTCCCTTTATATTCAATTACGTAAGCTTTTAACTAACCTTCTTCCTCCTAACCTTAAAAAATTCAATTAAAAGAATAAATATTTTGTTTAAGTAATAAATGTTATTCAAAAAGTTGACATTGTTGATCTCAACGTTTCTTGAATCCCTCCCCAGCCCTTTTCAACAACTGCCAAAAAAAATTCAAACCTTTTCTTCTACTTATTTTGATGATACAATTGATGGAAGCGCCTAATTAATAAGATCAAAAATTTCTATATATTTTTCTATATATCACTTAAAAATTGTTTTATAATTTTTAGAAAAATATGGTTTTATTATTTAAAACTTTTTGGTAAAATGAGTTACTAAAATCAAATAAGTAGCAAGCAAGTATATTTTATCAGTCGCACCCAGTAGGCACAGAACGTCCTTGGATGTTGATTGGATGTACCCAGCAATCTTTTCATTCATGATCTATGCATGATTATTATTATTATGATCGTCTCCACCACGCCAATTATGCCGTTTATTTACTACTATTTGCCAAGATCGCTTTTTGACATCACTGTGCCGATTAGGGAAGAGTGTGATAACTGCAAACATGATCAAAACGGCATGATCTAAAAAGATAAATGACAATTTATTTTTGCTGCGGAGAAAGGGTTTCATTAAATAAAGCTGTTTTTAATTTCGATAAATAGATATAAAATTTTTCTGATAATTTTATGCAATTTTTTATTTAAGAAACATTTATATTGTAGCTACTATGGTTTTAAAACCATAGTAGCTACAATATAAAATATTGACCTTTATTTTGAGTTTTATTTTATTGATTTTTTCCGCTGTCGACTGATAAGTTTCTTTTAAACAATTTATTACAAGCATTAAAAAAGTCCGCGAAAATTTTAACGTTAAAAGCGTTTTATTTAAATAAAACATTCTAAAATTAACTGCATTTCTTTTTGTGGAATGAAATACTTTTAAGTTAGGAAATCTTCTTTAAATTTGACTTCAGATTTGTGAAATGTCTGTACTAACAACTAAAAGAAGAGTGCGAACTATAAATGTTAATTCGATAAAGAAAATTTTCGATCAGGCCAATATTTTAATGAAAAAACGATAATCATAGTGAAAATTTATCAGAACTAATTAGTTTAAGAGAGACGGCTAATGATAGATTTGAAAGAATTAAAACTCAAGATGATGAAATTTTGGTTTTAATAGATGACGCGGAGGAGTTACAAATTAACGATGATTTAGCTATTGACTTTACTTTAGGCTTCAAAAGAGAAAATTCTAAAATAAACAATTTTCTATATAAATTTTCTATTAAATCTAATGACGACGCAAAATTTCAGAAAAATATCAAATTTAATGGTATTGCCATTTAAAGTAGATCTTCCGGTGATAGGTGACAATTATAATTTATGTAAGTCGAGATTTTCAGCATTAGAGAAAAAATTTGCAAGCGATAGAGATTTATTTTCGTCTTACAATAATACTATTAAGGATCAATTATCTAAAGGCATTATTGAAAAAGTCTCTAATTTTGAAGGTAATATTGGTAACGTTCACTATTTACCTCACCGTACAGTAATACGCAAAGATAAGCTGACTTCATAAATACGTATAGTTTTTGATGCAAGTACTTGCACATACGGTCCTTCGTTAAATGAATGCTTATTTTCAGGACCATCTCTAACAACTTCATTATATAGTATACTTTTACGTTTTCGTGCGAAGCGAATCGCTTCAATTGCTGTCATTGAGAAATCATTTTGAAACATTGCATTACCTGAAAAGCATTGAGACTTTGTAAGATTTATATGGTATAAAGAATTATTTGATTTAGACAGTTTAAAAAATAGTGAATTAAGTGTTTATCGATTGTCGAGTTTTGTTTGGCGTAACTTCTTCTCCTTTTTTATTATCTGCGACTTTAATTAATCGCGCTGAACGTTATGCTGTGAACGATTTAGATTTTAGCAAGAAATTAATTCAATCATTACATGTGGATGATTTAGATGCGAGTTTTCATTCTGTATCCGAAGGACTTGTGTTTTATAATAAAGCTAAATAATGTTTAAAAGAAGGAAATTTTTGTCTTACAAAATTTGAGTCATACTCAAAGGAACTATGCAGTTTAATTAAAGAGGACAATTCAACCCCAAGTAATATTACTTAAGTTCTTGGTTTAAAGTAGAATAAAACTGAAGATGATTTAATTTTTATCTTTCAGGATTTATTATATTTAGTGGACAATAAACCTACTAAAAAAAGTATTCTTAAATTCATTGCAAGTTTTTATTTCATATTAGATTTATTGAAAATAAAATCTCCAAAAATATTTCAATGCTATATAAAGTTAAACCTTTTCTTAATACGGAATCTTTAAAAATTATATATTTCTCATTTATTCATAGTTATCTTTCCTATTGTAATCTTGCATGGGCAAGTACCAATTATGGGAAGCTCAAAAAAATTTATAGCAAACAAAAACATGCTTGTAGGATTATTTTTGGCGTTAACAGAACTGTTGATGGTGAATCTCTTTTAAAGAAACTTAATGTGCTTAATATTTACAAACTTAATATATACCAAGTTATGCTAATTACGTTTAAAACAAAACATGCGTTATCTCCTAATATATTTCAGTCTTACTTTACCGAAATATATCATAAATATCTCACTAAATTTTCATCTGATAATTTTGTTATTCCAAGATCTTATTTAAAACTCAATTCATTTCAAATTCAAAACCGGGGACCATTTATATGGAAAGGTTTTTTAAAAAATATAATTAAAAATAAAATTCTTCGAGGCATCTCCTTAGAACAATTCAAAAGAGAATCTAAACGTTTTCTATTAGAAAAAACTTTCGATTTTAAAGACTTCTTCAAAAATCACCTAAAATAATTAAACCTGAAAAAGTCATCACTACTCATTTACTATTGTCTTGTGTATCTTGTTTATTTCTTATTAAAATAAAAAATATATATACTATTAATTTTGAACAGACAAATAACATTTATTCGATTTATTACTTGCGTCTTATATTTGTCGAACTAATATTGTATTGTACTTCAATTTTTAACCTTTTAGTTTTTAACTTATAACTTTGTGACGTTAATGTAAACGGGGCTTGGCGATAAGACAGTTTATGTCTTCTTCTTGCTCCGGCCAATTTTTATACATGAATGGTTTTTTCTCATTGTAAATTTAATTATACGGCAAAGAAAATATAATAATAATAATATAATAATAATAATAGCAATAATAATGATCCTTTAGGATTAGTGAATCCTAATATAGTAAGATGTAAAAGATTATTTCAACCAATTTGTAAGTTAAAGTTAGGGTGAAACTCACTTATAGAGGAAGAGGCCTTAATTAAAAGGAACGATATTATTAATGATTCTGTACCTTTTATTTATGTTCTAAGATGGTATAATAAGAGTGTTATAACATCCAACATAATAAATTTGAGTTATACGGCTTTTGCGATGCGAGTCTAAACACGTACGGTTGTTGCATTTACTTAAGAAGTAGCGCTGAGAGAGTTGCTAATTCTTGTCTAATTACTTCTAAAGCAAGAGTTTCTCTTTTACTTAAGAATACTGTTCCTAAATTAGAATTAAGGGCAATGTTATTATTAGCTAATTTGTTTTCAGTAGTATAAAAAGAGTTACGTGTGTTTTAAATATTTCTTGTGTTAAGTTATTTTCTGATTCCATTATGTGTCTTAATTGGGTAAACAATGTAAATAAAAAAAATATGAAGCCTTTCTTCAGAAGTGCCTGGAAAAAATACGTTTATTGTATAATATTAAGTTTTGGGTTTATATTGAAAGTGAAAGAAATTCCGCAGATATTATATCTCGTGGTTGTAAATTTAGTAGCTTTCAAAATTATGACCTTTGGTCTAAAGGTCCTAGTTTTTTATATAATTGTTTAATTTCCTGGCCTTTATTTGATTTAAGCAAACAAGGAGATTCTCAGTCTGAAGTTATAACTTTAATTACCTCTGAACATTCTTTAGAAAATTTAGATTTTATGAACATTAAGATTTTTAAAACATATGATCGTCTTCTATAGGTAACAGCTTTAGTTTTGCGTTTTATTAGTATAATTTAAAAAAAATGTAATAGTGATTTATCTACACTAACTACTTTTGAATTAAATAATGCAGAAATATTGTGGATTAAATTCATTGAAAAAGATATATATATAATAGTGAGTCTTATAATCAATAAAAACGAGATTTAGGTTTTTTTAGAGCCGATGAGATAATTCGTTGTCAAGGTCGTCTTAGTAACGCACCAATTCCATTTAATTCAAAGTTTCCTATATATTTACCAAATAAAAGTTACTTAACCAATTTGATTATTTTACATTATCATTATCTTACTAAACATAGTGGTGTTAAAGAAACACTTAATAAATTAAGAACTAAGTTTTGGTTTACAAAAACTCGCAATTTAATTAAAAATATAGTTAGAAATTGTTACACTTGTCGAAGATTTGACAGTAAACTATTTAAGTATCCTAATTCTCCTCCTTTTTCCCTATTTAGAGTTAGTGATGAATATGCAATTAAAAACCTGGGAGTAGATCTTTACGGACCAATCATGCTTAAGAATATTTATGAAACTAATGTAATGAATAAAGCGTGGTTGTTTGTTACTACATGTTGCAGTAGACGTTTTCTCTATTTAGATTTGATTCCCGATTGTACAGCGGAAGCTTGCATTTGTGGGCTTCGTCGTTTTTTAAGCCGCTTCGGCGCACCCTTTCAATTTATCAGCGATAATGGTTCAAATTTTTCTGCTGAAGAAACTCAAATCTTCTCAAGTTCAAGACGTATACGATGGTGTTTTAATGTTCCTGCTGCTCCATGGTGTCGAGGGGTAATCGAAAGGATGATACGAACTACCAAGAGAGTACTTAAAAAGGTTCTAAAAACATCAAGAGTTATTTATGAAGAAATGCCAACAATTTTGACTGAAATTGAAGTTGTTGTAAACAACAGGCCGATTACGTTTATGTACGAAGTACCCGGCAACGAGCCTCTAACACCAAATCATCTCGTGTTTGGACAAAAATTACGTTTAGAATCTGTGAAATCTTTTTAAAAAACTGCAATTATAACGACTAGAAAGTTTTTTTTTATTAGTGTTTTGTTTTATTAAATAACGTTTTTAAAACATGCGTAAAAGTTGCTACATCGACTATCTTATAGCCTGAGACGCATTGGAGTGCTGCTACATCGACTGACAATCAGCCTGACTCGCAACGGAGTGCTGCTACATCGACTGACAAATAGCCTGACTCGCAACAAAGTGCTGCTACATCGACTGACAAATAGCCTGACTCGCAAGGGAGTGCTGGTACAACGACTGACAAATAGCCTGACTCGCAAGAGAGTGCTGCTACATCGACTGACAAATAGCCTGACTCGTAAGAAAGTGCTGCTACATCGACTGAGGGTTTGGTTTGGGCAGGCAGTCTATCATTTGAAAAAAAAAAAAATTTAACTTTTTAAACTTTTTCTGGTCTGTTTTATTAACGCGCTCTTTAAAACTACACCCAGTAAGCACAAGACGCATTTTAGACACTTATAGACGTCTAAAACTAGTCTAGGTAAAAACGCACTTTTATAGACGTTTTAAAGACATCTTTTAGACGTTTTTTATAAATGCATTTTTAAAATGACCTTTAAAAGGCGTCTTTTTAAATGATAAAAAGACGTCTAGAAGACGTCAAATTTTAAGACATCTTCTAGACGTCTTTTATAAAGGCGTTTTTAAAATGACGTTTAAAAGGCGTCTATTTAGGCGTTAAAAAAACGTTTAGAAGATATCTTTTTTTAAGACATCTTCTAGACGTCTTTAATAAATGCGATTTTAACATGACGTTTAAAATGCGTCTTTTTAAAGTTTAAAAATACGTTTAAAAGACGCGTAATATATAGTCTAAAATACGCATTTAAAGACGTCTAGATCAAAGCTAAAAGACGTCTTTTCTGAGACCTGTGTATAAATATGTCATTATGACTTTTTTTTTGACGGCTTTGTCATTACGCGTTAAGTAGATGTCGTATATTCAAAGTAAAAACATAGTTTTCATTATTTTCAATAACTTGTTCAAGTTTTAAATGTAAATTACTTTAAATTAAATTACTTTTTTACACAATTGCTAAAATTGTTGTCACAGGAATCACTAAAATAATTGCTATAATAATAATATATCTTTTTTTTATTAAAAATTATTTTGCTTTTTTAATAGATAGTTGACTGATCATGATAATAAGTGAAAATAGCAAGAATAATATATAAGTTAAATATCAGTACTTTTAGTTTTTATACACCCACAAGTCATATAATAAGTCAAGTATGCGGTCAAAAATTAGCTATCAGTACGTATGATAAATTTTATTATAACTAAAAGTAAGTTAAAAATGTTTTAAATACTGTTCTGATATATCTTTGCTATTGTTATTTATTATTTTCATCTTTGATGCATCAACCGTTGGTGGTGATTACAGCAACATTATTTTGATTGCTGGTTCCTATTTATATTTTATATATACAAAATTATAACAATATATGATGTTATATATACAATCAATATATACCACATACTACGCAAAAATGTTACGTCATGTACTTAAATTTATCTTGAAAAAAACGTCTAATATACGTCTAAAACGCGTTTTTATAAAGACGTCTTCATTTAGACGTCTTTCGGCCTTATGATCTAGACGTCTACAAGTGCGACTTTTACACCTCCTTAAAGACATCTTTAAAACGTCTTTTAAACGTCTTTGGGCTTAGTATATTTATATATATATATATATATATATATATATATATATATTTATATATATATATATATATATATATATATATATATATATGTATATATATAAATTTATATATAAATATATACATATATAATATATATATATATATATATATATATATATATATATATATATATAAATATATATAAATATATATTTAAATATATATACATATATATATATATATATATATATATATATATATATATATATATATATATATATATATATATATATATATATATATATATATATATATTTATATATTTATATATATATATATATATATATATATATATATATATATATATATATATATATATATATATATATATATATATATATGTATATATATATATATATATATATATATATATATATATATATATATATATATATATATATATATATATATATATATATATATATATATATATATATATATATATATATATATATATATATATATATATATATATATATATATATACACCCAGCTAGCCAACACATAAGGGTACCATATGGGATCCATACGGGCTTTGATACGGGACGCATATGGGCAACCCGTTGCTAGTCCAGCGGGAGATGCAAATGGGCTCCGTACATGTCCCACACGGGCTTCCCGCTGGGAAACCCATATGGTTTTTGTATGCAGCCCATTTAATTAGCCTATATGGTGCCCATACGGTTACGACTAGGGAAATCTGTATACAGCCCAAAAATAGTTGCAAGTATCTCAAGTCTCATAAGCGCGATTTAAGCGTTATTTAACTTCTTCCATAAAGTCAATTTCGTCATAAAGAACTAGAAACGCAGAAATAAAACCCAGATATAATGTAAGCTATTTTTTTTTAATAAATAGTAATGTTAAGCAAATTTGTCCATATTTTCTGACGGAGTAAGATAATCTGCATCTAGTTCAGTCGAGTTAACATTGACAGCGACTTTACCAGATCTTCCACGATCACGTGAGTTAGCAAACCAGGTTGAAAGTTCAGTTTCGATTTCCTTTTGCGTGCAATTTTTTGTGCTAGGATTTAATTTAACAGCACCTATTTATTTAACAAAAGCATATTAAAACACCTACACATATATAAATTTATATATATATATATATATATATATATATATATATATATATATATATATATATATATATATATATATATATATATATATATATATATATATATATATATATATATATAGATATATATATATATTATATATATATATATATATATATATATATATATATATATATATATATATATATATATTATATATATATATATATATATATATATATATATATATATATATATATATATATATATATATATATATATATATATATATATATATATATATATATATATATATATATATATATATATATATATATATATATATATATATATAATATATATATATATATATATATATATATATATATATATATATATATATATATATATATATATATATCTAGGTTGGAGGTGTCCTCGGCTCATTTCGCTTTTGACCGTGCTTCAGTAAGACTGTCTATAAATAAATTGAAATACAATACATTAAATAACGTATTGAATGAAACTTGCAACACAGAGGCATTTTTTTAGCAATGAATTATTAATAAAATATAATTATAAAAGCATAACATTAATTTTACCTGCAATTCCTAGTATTCTAGAAGTAAATAAAGGCCAATGCACATTCGGATCCATTAGATTATTTTTAGCCTTTGCAATACTAGTTGGATTTAAATTTTTATCATTTGGCCAAAAGACTTTAACAGATACTTTATTTTTAATACTGGATGGAAGTGAATTGATGTCAACTCCACTTATCCAAGTTAGTGGCACATAATCTGTTGTATTAGTTTCATCGAATAAAACTATTGCATACATAATTATACTGTATCACAAAAACAAAATTAAAAAAAATATACACCAGACTAGCCTCTTATGTTTGATGTGATATCATACAAGCCTTGCCGGGAAGTAAGAGATATTGCTCTTACATCAACCTTTGAGCTTTGATTTATCAAATGATATTATAATATAATATACCATAAAAGTCATAATAATCATAAAATGTATTGTGTAATTATAATGTATATCAAAGCTGGCAGTTGAGCTATTAAATAATGGCACTCAATCTATATTTATATGCAGATACAATTTACTAATTTCAGACCTGATAGGATACCTTTCCATTAAAATAGAAAACCAATGTTTTAATCCAAAATAGAAATATTCTCCGCCTGCAATACTTTTTATAGTGATGCTTTCTTCAGTTTGCAACAAACTTCTTGCATCCTTTGGCAAATCAGGATGTGATTGTCTTAACAATGAAAGCAAATCTGAACATGCATTATGTGAAATGTTAAATTTTAAAACCCATGTTTGTAACTGACTCTGAAGGCAATCAGTATTGACATCATACTCTACAGCTTCGTCTTCATCGTGACTTACTAAGCTAGTTGTTTCATTTTGGTTTTCAAATTTACTACCTGTATCATATAAGCATATTTCAGTTTGTGCTGGAATATCATCAGCGCTAATAAGCTCGTTATCACGAGGCATAACTTTATCATTATTTTGATAATTGTGTTCATTGTTATAAATATCATTATTACTATGACTGTTACAAATTTCTGAAAAATCATCAACATGTCATTTTTTTCATTAATACACATAGAATTGTTTTGAGAACTAGCATCAGAAAATATTCTATTAACAACAGCATATATTTTCCTCCTTTTTGTAGAATATGAGTATAAATTATTTGCCATTCTGAAAATAAAGAAAAGCAGAACTGTAATAAACTAAAATAATTTAAATTAACAAACAGAATTTAAATTAACAGTAAATTAGTAATAGAATACAATGCTGTAATAAATATATAAACTATATATAAGACTAAAAATTACCATAAGCCTTCTAAATATATAGTATATATATAGAAGGCTACAAATATTTCAAACCCTTGATAAATGGAACTTCCAGTAACTAATTTTGAATACTTGAACTAAAACCTTATTTCTATTATAATCTTGATAAATTTAACATTCGCTAACTCAAACTAATTTCTTGGTCCCTTGAAGGTTCAAGTTATCAGAAGTTTGCTGTATATAGGTATAAATATGTAGAACTTTGTCAATCATGTAAGTTACCAAGAGCATTGAGCATTCCCAAGAGCAAGTTTAGCACTTTATATAACGTTCTTTATATAAAAAAGGTTATATAATATGTAATATATAATATAATA